CTTCTGCACTAAGCAAAAACTTCATAATATAGTCTATAGACAGTTTACTATCATCCTCCGACATTAGTTTTGTTTTGAGGTTATTGTATTTCACATCCAGGCCTGAAATTATTCGGTGCACGGTAAGAGACTCCCTGAGATCCCCCAATTCACATTCCCTTCCAATATTGATCACTTTGGTGAAATAATCTTCTAATCGCAAGCCATTTTGAGTGGCGGTGAAGAATTCATGTCGTAGTATTGTGAGGCTTCTTTTAGGGTTAAAATATTCTTTGAATTTCTCTATGACAGTGTCCAGCTTTTCAGCACTTGATGTATTGAAGGTATTATATATTTCAATACCTTTTTCACCGATGCAATTCAATAGTATACTTATTTTGCGCTTTTCACCCACCTCATCCAAACCGTTAGCCTCCAAGTATATACGAAATCGTTGCACCCATGTTTTGAAATTTTCTGCTAGGTTTCCGGTAAAATTCATTGACGGGAACGGCGGGGCTGGCACAAATCCCACTTCTGACACCATGTTGTGTGCCCGGTCAGTGCTATCGGTCATTTTATGTTATCTGTTAAATAAAACACGTCCACCATTTTCTAAAGAATCTGTTTTATGTTCTAACAACTAGTGATGTAACTAATAACTAGGGATGTACCCCAAACACTGCCCTAGTGGGTTCGATTCCCGGACCGGGCAAGGTTTTCTTGAGAGGAAAAATAGCCTAAGTTACTACTTATATAGACAGCTACCTGGTAGTAAAATATTATCAAAATCGTTCCAGCGGTATAGAAGATTCAGTATGCTAATCGGCGAGAGAATTCTTCATATCGCGATACAGGATTAGCAATTCTCATTCACTAGTTACACCGTAGCTCCGTGTATCTTTGTTAGATGGCGCTGTAGTAAGTTTTCATTTCTTTGTACACAAACTAACGATATATTTGGTGATGGGTCAGGAAAAAAATCGATCCCGATAAATAAATCATTTTTTCATCGTAAATTTGCAATACTAAAAATTAATATTTAGAAAAAGTGCAGAAAGCTAAAATTTTTATTTAATTTAAATATAAAAATTAAGCTTAGCGCCTATAAAAGCTACAGGAGACCAGTATGACTGACAGACAGACTGCACGGATGGCGTAGTGGTTTAAGCGGTCACCTTGCCACTTCCTACTACGCTAAGTGTCGTGGGTTCGTTCCGCACATGGAACATCACTTTGTGTAATCTACAAATTTATGTCCTGAGTCTGGGTGTTCTTTGTGTCCGTTTCATGTATGTTTCTAAAGTCCCTCGCGACACAGGATTATATTCCTAGTGCAGGAGTTCTCTTTAAACAAATAAAAGTATATATGTATAGTTTGACGGTACTGCTTACCAATGTGAAATAAACCGTGTAAACAGGCGATATCTAATTAATTGTAAAAAGTAATTAAAAACAATACTAGAGGACAGGGTAACTCATTACAATCGGAAACGCGACGTAGCGTAGTGGATAACGGCTTTATTTATTATATAGGGAAGCTTATTATGAGTACCATAAGGAACTGTTGTAAGTAGCGATCATTTTCAAGCAATTACTGAGGAACATTAAATGGTGGATGAGGCGATTAATATTTTATAACACATAAATTCAAAACGATCTCATTAAATATGCCACAGGAGCTACTAATGGAACTTTTTGTTTTAGCGACTAATAAATATAATATTTTACTGGTTTACTAAGAAGGAGTAAAATAGTAATACTAGGTATAACTGGTATTATTAATGATTTACTACAGAATAACTGCGTTGTTGTGCGGCGAAATATTTTTTCAATGAAGTTTGACAATTGCTTAGAGATTTGTTCCTGGGTCAATCAATGCATTTGGCGTTTTAATATCTCTGCCAACTCTGAGCTGCAATAAGGCTTGAATATTATGTATGTGTTTAACCAAAATTATAGAGGAAAAAAGTGGGAACTGTGGGCAAGTGGGACTGCTACACAAATGATAATATCAAATAAAAAATGTGAAACTAATACATGACTAAATAACATTTTGTTTTTACAAAATAAATTTACTACATCAACAAGAATTTATTTGCAATATACGAATGAAGTCTACGCTGTTAATTTAATAGTGGAAACATAACATTTGACGGGCCTGTTGGTCTTGTGGTTAGTGACCCTGACTGCTCCGCCAGAGATCGTGGGTTCAATCCCACCCAGGACAAATAACTGTGTGATGAGCACGGTCATTTGTTCTGTGTCACGGTATTTAGAAATATATAAGTACGTTTATTAGCGGTCTGGTTACCATAGTACAGGCTCTGCCTAGTTTGGGATCAGACGGCCGTGTGTGAGATGTGTGAGAATATATGTGAGAATATTATTATTATAAAAAGGTAACTGCTTACACGTAATATAAATATAAGTATAAGTTTCTAAGCTCTAAAGTACAGCTTACCATTCGGTCAGGTAACCGAGCTTAACAGAAATTTACGAAGTCCTTACTTTAGATTGCGACAACCTTGAACTTCCAAACTCCAGAGCATGTGAGGAATGCCTGAAAAAACTTTACGACCTAAATATGAAAGCTGAACACGTTTACAATAAGGTTTTATACCGTTATACAGAACCCTTCGTAAACGGCGTGAATGCCCGTAGCAATTTTATAGGAGTGAAACCGTAAAGCCCAAACACTTAGAGGCGGCTGTTATCTACCCATCTACCATATTGTGCGTTTCGGCGGCTTGTTACGATCTGAGAAAACTCACGGACTGATATTGTGGACGGTATGGCTAGGCTAGCTAGACCAACAGTAGAAACAGCTAACATTTTTTATTAGTATTAAACATTTAAACAATAAACATGCAGTAAGTTCGTTTCAATCTCGTGCAATTAAGAAAAAAAAACAGTGGCACTCCGGCAGTGCCAGCAGAAGTGAAAACTTGAAAATGTAATGTTTTGTTTTATTCGATTTAAAAAGTTCCGACATAAATATCTATCTGTGTTGTACGTATATACACAATATATGTTTATATTATAAGGGACGTCGTAACTAAACTTTTTATGCAATCAGCTGTTACAGGCCAAGGTCATTCCCTGCAGGTATCGCACAAAAGTAATAACTACATATGTATTCCGTGCAAACAATCTACTCACACTAACACAAGTTGACGGCCGGTATTTATTCAATTTTTTTAAGTAAAATGTAATCATTTGTCATCATTTTTTCATTTTGAAAATGGAAATTTAAAAAAGAAAATTCCAATGATTTTCGACTCAGGATCATGTCTGAATTACACTATTTCAGTATTCGTTACAACGTCCCTTACACCCTGTATATAGTTAAATTATCAACGTATTTCAACCCAAACTCAACTCTCGTGTAAACGGAGCCAATATATGTATGTACATACTTATATACAGAAGTGTCGGTAACGGTAACAGTGTCGCGAGTTCAATGGTTTTTTCCCAACGCAAAAATACATTCTTTTGTTTGTTGTTCAAAAATGTTACGCGCCTGAAGAAGTTTTCACTTCAAAAACCGTTGTGACTTATTGCAAATGCGATGTTAAGAAGTGGTCAGGTATCACGACTGCATCAGAGTTACGTCTTGCCTGTATTATGTAATATATTTCTAGAGCTAATAACTAAATGTAAGAAGAAAGTTAAGAAATATTCGAAAAAGAAAAATACAAGATCCTTAAATAATCATCGTAGCCAACTTTGAATGAAGTAAGCCAAATATATTTAGAATGTAATCGGAAGATAGACCGACGTATGTTTAACATAATCATCAAAAATGGGATGATCTCAAGTGACACGTTCGATTCACACCATTTTCCCCATCTCGATATTCCCCAATTCTCACGTTTATGTCAAGTCATCGATTAGGCTGGTCTTAAAATCCTATCACATACCTTCCTCAGTTAATGATTCAATTATTATACACAAAATACGGATATTTTATTAAATAGAATAATTAACAAAACTAAAAGGAAATTTGCGAAATATCGGTCACTTCACGAAGACGATAAACGTAACAGCAGCTTTCACCGTCCCGTGTGTTTCAGCCGATGCTTTCCCTGCAATAAAATTTGCATAACTACGCTCCTTGGCACCGGAGCAGCGTCTTATTAAATTTCCAACCCCTCAAAGTCATTAATGGTTTGTATTTAACCACCTAGCCGTGTTATCTTGCCATAAATCATAAGGTTTCACAGTATCGCGTAATATCGTGCATGGTTGGCTATGACTTTTATTGCGGTCTCAAGATGCCGGTAATCCCTAGATCTTGAGATTCTCGACTCATGGATTAAGGCTAATCTTTTGTTTATACGTTTTCTTTTCTTGCGAAAATTGTGTTATTAACGGTGCTAATTCAGTACGTTGTGATACTCCTATTATGTTATGTATATTTGGTTTCTTTTTTACCTTCTATGAATACAAATTCATAGACACTAGGTATGACTTTGACTAACAAGGACTGACCTTACTAATTTTAAATTGTAATTCTTACATTTTAACTAAGCTCTCTTTAATATCAGTTAAAGTAACTACTTAAGATAACAATGTTCAAACACAGAATAATAAACCAAAAATAGTACGGGCAAATGTATTTTTGTATTAACCTGATAAGATTAAATAAATAAATGTATCTGAATTTTAACAGATATTTTTATAACTAAAATTTCTTACAAAAAGACTAATAATAGGTTTTGCTTCTTACCGTATGGAAAAAATTAATAACTATTAATAACTTTGTATAATAGAAATGCTTTCTAAATGTCAACTGGTGTAAATTAAATGAGTTGTTGTATAAATGGTTTTTAATGTGCCTGTATATCAATGTATACAACCAATACTTAAAAATGACAGTTTTAATTTTTTATTCAATGCGTCATAAACAGCGACGACGACGACATCAAACAGAACCTGATAACAAACAACCAGACACATTCCATATCGTATTACAGACCGAACAATATTAGCATTCGTGAGCGTACATTGGTACCAAAATGACGTCTATTATACTACTACAATGTATTACTGCATATGTTATAGTTTCAATCACCGCGTCTACAGTGAAGTGGCTTCCAAATTCTAGTTTCATGTTAGCAGAGAACTACAAGGACGGAAAACTTCCTTGCTCCAAGCAAACCGTGGTATTTCCTGAATTAGTAATTGGTGCCATCAAAGTTGCATCCGAAACTGAAGTTAGCGGTTTGATTTTGCCCGAAGAAGGTGAACTTATATTAGACGATTTGATAATGCTTGGTGCTGATCCTTCAGATAAAAATTGTACAGACGGCAACGCCTACTACGTCGATAAGTCATCAGCGGCGTGGAATCAAGCGGATGTGTGGAGCTCCCCAAGGTTTAATGATGCAACTCCGGATTCCGACAGAATCCCATGTTTTAACGACGTTGTTCAGTTTCCACAAGATGCTAAAATAACTGTGACTTTACCAAAAGAAACGCAACACGTCAAGGCTCTTTATATTGGAAATGAAAGCTACTCCACTGAAGATTTTAGAATACGTGTACTGGATGAATCTAATCAAAGACAACAGTTCGTTTTGAATGACTTTTCTGACACTGGTCTGGCAATCAATACGCCAATGAGCTGTACAGCATTTGGATGTCCATGTCAAATTGTTCCAATGACGATCGATTGCTCTGTAAAATACTGCCAAATGCCTAACTGTTTGGATGCTATCAAGCCACTTGGATTTTGCTGTGAAATTTGCGGCGGTTCTATATTGTTTGATGCTAATAAAGGGTTTGATATGTTGGCTTTCCACCAATTTGTTGAAAAATATACAACAGAAAATCATATTTACTATATAGGTTTCGCCCCTGAGGCGCCTATTAGACGAATACAGCTTGTCATCGTCGATAAAGGAGGTTACGTAGGGACCAGTACGGAAGTCATCAATTCTATCCACTATGATATGGAAGGTCACTGGTACAAAGGGGAAAGGGTTCTGCAGATAAGCGGTACTCCTTTAAGTAAGACAAGTTTGGCTGGAAAAATCTTTATATCCATGTTTTTCGCGGTGATTTTAACATTTTTCGGGTTTTATGTATATTATTATAAAATGGGTGATTTAAGATATCCGCTGTTCTCTCGCAGCGCAACTCTTAATATAATGTCGAGATTCCAGAGAAGATCAGACAGTGTGGTGAGTTTGACGAGAAGAGACTCTGTGATCAGTACAGCTACAGGTGCCACTGCGTTTAGGAATCCAATGTATGATTCTAAAAGGGGGCGTGTGCAAGTTGTTGAAACTATGACAGATGATTGAGATGACATAAACTATGAGTAACTGTTTTCTATAATATAATATTATTAGAGAAACTTTAATAAAATACAAACTGAAGTTTTATTTTCTACGTAACAGTGTATTTAAACTAGGAAACTTTAAGTGATATTCGATTTAAAAAACTCTCAACAAGTAAAACCTAGACCAAATTTTTGATTTTGTCATTTCGTTGCCACAAATAGATAAAAATTACATATTTCTTAAAATATAACTTAATCCTGCGATTATTGTATTTTTTATGGGTAAAATGTTTCATTAATAACTGAATAAAAAGTAAGTTCCAGCTATCAGTTCTTGAAAAAGTATTTGTTCAAATATTTATGTTACTGATTTTGGCTATAAATATACATTTGGCTATGGCAGTATATTAACGTGTCTATATCCTAGATTACTTTGATATCTCCATCCTTAGATCAGCAAAGAAAAATGTCTTAGCTTATACATGTTATCTACATAAAAAAGTTATTCATGTAGGCCTATGTGATATTTAAATGTCATCCACACCCTTTAATACTACACTGCTAGACATAAGTCTCTCCTTAAAAAGGAGATTTTGGCCTACTATACCAAACTGGCCAGACAGGTTGGTATAGGGTTTGTGTCAAGGTTTCCTTCTTTCTGCAGTGCTGTTGTTTTGCGTAGTTGGGTCCCTTAGTCGTCGTTGGGATGAATAGGGGCGCTGACACTCTGTATTCTTAATCCGTCACCATTATCGAGTAACAGGGCCGAACTTTCTAGAAATCAAACACTAATTTAACCAGATATAATTTCGATATTATACACACTAATAGTCGCCTTTACATAAAATCGTTGTCCAAACTCATACGTCATAAAATTTTCTTATCTTAATATATTCTACTTCTAGTCTAAGGGTGCAATAAAATTTATTTCTCTGCTAAAAGCTTCATATTGATAGTGAGGATTGGTGTTAACTAACCAAATGATTTGCTTCTGACTTTTTGCCCGGTGCGGGCGGTCACAGAACAATGATTTTATGAACAGATTTTATGCTTTACATATTGTATTTGACATTACACTAATATTTTTAGGCATGCGTTAGGATTGAAAATATTTTTAATTTACTGTGTTTATACTGATATATTTTTACAATACTACGTACCGTATGTATATTCTGTGACACTTAATCAATATTCATTATTTGAAAGCGTATATTAACTTTTATACATGTCTACTTAGTCTCTTGTAGATATATTAGAAAAATGATCAAGTTCTTTAATACTATTTTTTATGTTATTTATTTTAACTATGTTGATGTTTAGCCACTCGTGAAGCAGTCAGTTCGCTACAAATGTTTTGCTAAATCTGTCCATAGCTTAAGTAATAAAAATAGTCTCTGAAGTTTTGTTACTTCCAAGTTTATGGTATAATTGGCTATTAGCTACGTATTTAGTTTATTATTATTGTCGCTATTGACATATGACGTATGGTTTTATTGGCCGTACCGTTAGCCATTGTGGCTACCGTAGTTATCGACTATATTGTGACAAAATAATAAAATATAGCTGTCGATGATTTGAAAGAAACATAGACAACATAGAGACATTATAAAACAAATGCTGTGATATATAATGGTTTTACCTAAGACATTACTGATTTTAGATTTTTCATTGGTTTTGGAAGAAGTCGGGGTTTAAAAAAAAGTACTTTTCCCAGTTCTTTTTTTAACCCCCAACGGAAAATAAGTTTAACCTGTCTGTCTATGGCATCATAGCTCCCGAACGGATGGATCAATTTCGGTGCGGATTTTTTGTACGAAATCCGATGTGATCGAGATGGTTCTTAGCTATTTTGAAGTTCATCAGCTCACTTCTTCGGTGATGAGGGGATATCTCACTAAAATCAACAGGTCCCATTGATATGAAATTTTGTATACTGTCACTTTGATAGTATTTTCACGACATGGTAACCTGGAACTTGCTGCTGCGTCAAGTAGTCTGCGGGATAGCCAACTCCTCAGAAGTTTCTTAAAGTTTTTTTTTTTTTTTAATAATTGTTATTAATCTATTGTTGTTTAGGCTGATGATGATGATGATGTTATTTATTGTTACCAAACCAGTAGCCGAATCACCTGAGGATCAGTGATAGCCGCTGCCTATAGACACCTGAAATTAATAATCACACTTACATTGTCGTTTTTTGTTTGTCATTACATCATTTTATATCCATTCTATCATTAAAACCATTCCATAAGCTTAATCATCATCATCATCATCATCAACAGCCTTTAACAGTCCACTGCTGGACATAGGCCTCTCCTTAGAACGGAGGTTTTGGCCTACTATAACACGCTGGCCAGACGGGTTGGTATAGGGTATGTGTCAAGTTTTCCTTCTCTTTGCAGTGCTGTTGTCCTGCGTATTTCGCTCCCTTAGTCGGCTCTTACGACACCCACGGGATGAATAGGTACTCTCTGTATTCTTAATCCGTCACCACACAGCTTAATCATTGTCATTTAATTGTTATATTCTAGTATTTTTATTTTCATTTCATTTTTCAATTGTGTACGTCTTTTCATCATTTAATTATAATAATTTATTTTCTTAATCGTCATAGTTTTTTTTCTCTATGATAAATTGCATAGCTTTAACTATTTGCAAGCTTTTTTTTTATGTTAGAGGGGGCAGACGAGCAGACGGTTCACCTGATGGAAAGTAACTATCGCCGCCCATGAACGTCTGCAACTCAGGAGTCACAAACGCGTTGCCGGCCTTTTAGGAAGGAGTACGCTCTTTTCTTGAAGGTTTGAAGGTGGTATCGGTCGTATTTTAGCAAAAGTAACTTCCCTTACTTTTTTGGTGTAAAATTTTACTTTGATTTGGAAGATTAAACTTGGGTTTATTTTATTTAGTTAAATAACAAAAGAAACTTTACTATCGCAGACCATTCCGGCACATCAATGTACATATATGTGTATATAACCTTATCGTTTGCTGTAAACCCAATATAATAATAATAATATTCTACTACATACACACAACGCCATCTAGTCCCAAAACTAAGCAGAGCTTGTACTATGGGTACTAGACAACTGATATAAGTACATATATATATATTTTTTGTAAATACATACACATTATACATAGAAACACCCAGACCAAATCAAACATCAAATGTTCATGCACACAAATGTTTGACTTGAGCGGGAATCGAACCCGCGACCTTTGGAATAGCAGTCCGTTACACAAACCACTACGCCATCCGGTCGTCCAATATATTTTTGTCAGATAAGCATCAAACTGCGAATGTTCTGTTATCAGAGAATTCTTGGCGGCTTTGTGTACGAGTAGGGCCTCCTTTGTGATTTTTTTTACAATCAATCCCCTAACTTAAAGAAGTGTCTGATTTATTACAGTAGGTTTCCGTGAAGTGGCCTATAGGTAATTTTTTTACGCTCTAACTTATAATAGGTGAGGTCGGTGTTAATTCTTCTCATAGATATGTACATATTTAACTAATTTTAAGTTATTAATAACAAAATGTAATTAAAGTAACTATTAAAGTTAGTGTACTATTAAGTGTTCGTACCATATTTTAAGACGCTTTATACTTTAGATTGTCTGATTTCCATACAGCTAGAAAAAACATAGGTTTCCTAATAATAAACAGTTACCGAAAACCAAAGGTCACCAACAACAACAATCTATCAACAATCAGGCAACAGTCCATACTCACCAATAGAATATACTCACTCCAGCGTCACGCTAAATGTTGTAAGAAAGTAAACTTCTGTCTTCTTTGTCTAAGAAATGTATAATTTACACATATACACAACAGCACCGCAAAGAGACTGAAAACTTGAAACAAACCCTATACCAACCCATCTGGCGAGCTTGGTATAGTGGGCCAAAACCTCCTTTCTAAGGAGAGGTGTATGACCAGCAGTGGATTATAAAAGGCTGTTGATGATACTGATGATCAAATATACACGAAAATGTGTAAAAAATAAAACTTACAACAAAAATCAAACAGCGACCAATTCACGAGTACCACACTTTCACCACCGCAATGAGTGAACGAACCCATCGACAAAGGGATCAATTTATCACAACAACCGCTGAAAGGTCAGACCCCAGCGCCGCGGGGGAGACAGGTACCGGTCGATTTTAGACCCTTCACCTTCCACGGAATTAAAAAAGTTAATCTTCATTGAAGCTTTCAGTACTGGATTTATCGTAATCAAAACAATCTCAAACATTGCAGTAAAACAAAATATATTTTTACACGCTTTATATTAGCTGCACTTGTATATTTGTGGGATTGTTTGTATATATTTCTGGCTGTCCCGTGCGGGCGCACCAACCTGCAGAGAGAAGCACCGCTGACGCGCGCACTACGTACTCTGAATATAATTGCGGACGAAGTAGATTTATTTTATTGCTCACTGAGTGAATTCACAATAACAGCATTAAGAATTATTTCTTATAATAAATAAGTAGATGGTATAACACTATTGCATTGGGCTAAGCCTGTAAAAATAGTTGTTTTTAAAGAAAATAAATAAATAAATAAATATATTTGATATATCGAGGACCGACGACAATACACTAATTTAGTTTAGTTTTCTATAAAACGCGTGTTTTTTAGTTTTTTTAAACTATTTTTTTTATTTTTTTTTACCATTAGTATTGGTTCCGATTTGATCACGTAACAAAAAAAATACTGTTGGTCTCATACAATGTACTGTTTAATTAAGACACTGCTCCCGCACTAGGAACTATTCCTTTTTTAACTTTAAAAACATTCAAATATTGGAATGTTTTTAATTAATCTATATACGAGAATATAAAATGCTAAGTCGGTTTGTGTGTCCTTCAAAAATTCAAAAAGTTCTGGTTTGATTAGGCTCAAATTTTGAGACAAATTTACAACCAGCTTCAAAGAAGGTTTTTATCTATTTTTCGTGTCAATTTGCTTCTTATTTCTTATTAATGGAACAATAGCATGCAAAAAAAAAACAGACA